GACCGCTTGGTGGCATCCCGCATCTTGTCGAGTCGCTTCCGTTCCAGGTAGGCACGGGAGGCAGCGATCAGGAAATCGTATGTCTTTTCCTTCGATCCCTCGGCGGCACGATCGTACAATGCCAGGTCATGAGTAAGAGGCCTGAAACTCTTGATAGCCATGTGGAAATATGCTTCCAACACGCTCTTTTCAGGTTCTCGTTTCATGCCGGCGAGGACCGAATCCCATTTGCTAATGAATGACTTTAAATCGTCGTTTACTAGCTTCACTGACATAAGATCTTCCAAATCGTAAATAGCACCGTGCTTGATGCTCGTGGCAAAGTACTCATGAAATTTGAGCAACACCTGTCGACCCTTAACTGGTTTGTTCTCACGCGCTTGAAGCTCCTTAAAGGTAGCTATCTGCCGACCAAGGTCCCCCTCGGCGCAGTTTGTCAGACTTGACAAAAGCTTTGCATCGAGTGTCGGAAACCCTTCTGAATCGGCAAGTGCATCGATGTTCTGATCTTCTTGGAAGACTTTCCCGATCCACTTTCGCGCATCGTCAGGCTTTGCAGAGGCCGCGGAAACATTATCTCTGACTTTGATCTTCCAATCCCGGTACCTTTCGGGAGTCGGAAACTTCGGAATGAGCACTTTGTCCGCTTCCTTTGCACGTTGCTCTTTCTCAGGAGGACCATCCTTCTTAAGCATTTTCTTCAACTCCTTTTTGACAAGTTTGGAAATCTTGTCACGAACGGAACTCGACGATGTAGAGTCGGCGTCGCTGCTCGAGCAACCTGAAGGAGAAGGCGAAGGGGACTTCTTCTTTGTCCTCTTCTTCGTAGGAGAGCGACCTCGCTTCTGTGTTTCATCATTCTTGCGTCGATCACTCTTCTTCTTTTTCTTCTTCTTCTCTGATCTCTCGCTGTCAGCGTCGCTTTGATGAGCATTATCTGGAGGGGATGGCGGTTTCGGCATGCTCGACGTGGCTTTGCACGACCGTGCCTCCGGAGAACTGGATTTGTGCTTGGGTGCCATTTCTGACATCCGGTTCCCCGGTGCGGCGTACATCCCTTCTCTTAGCTCTTTGATGATGCGAGCTTGTTCGGCCAGCTCAGCGCGCAAACTGTTCTCTCGCTCTTGAGCTACGGCCCTTTCCTTTAAGGCAAACTCATGTTTCTCAAGAGCCGTTTGTGTCAAGAACCTTTTACGCTCATCTTCTTGTTGCTGCTGTAGCTGTTGTTGTGCAATTCGAAGTTGTTCAAGTGTTTGTTGTTCATTTGCTCCGGATGACTCCGCGACGAAGTCTCTGGCTTGTCTCTCCACATCCTCTCTCATGCGTGTGGCTTCCTCGTTGAACCTATTCTGAGCTTCGGACATGATTGCCTGGTGCCTTAGCTCAGCGACCTGTGCCACTGCTGCCGATTGGTCCTGATTTACAATGACAGCTTGCTGGAGAGTCCTTGCATCTATCTGGTTAATCACTGATGTTGTTGGTGCGAACGGAGAAGGAGCTTCCATGGGCCCCAGGTCCCCCTGGACAGGACTAAGTAGAGGAACACTCAACAAGTCAGGAGGTAAAGGCACTAGGATATCACTACCCTCATGCTCGGACATCAACGGGGTGGTAGGAGCATAGCCCGAACGAGATCGTTCGTCCTCCAAAGCATCCATGGCAGCTAGCCTACCGAGTGTGCGCACTACTCGTGGTGGAACCGGCTAGCTACGTCCCAAAGCACGCACCGCACTTATGGCGATACGGCTGATAACCTGTGTAAACAGGCAATTAGCCTATTTAGACCGCAATACGCGCCTATTTTGCTTGAGCCAAAGTCAAGTGTATGTGAGACATGAATACGGTGTACAACTGTGAAACCACAGATGCGAAATGAAATAAAACAATCATCACGTGAACATGGCCGTCTTGGCTGTCACTGTTGGTGTGTCTGAGCGTCAAAGCCCAAAATCGGAGGAAGGTCCGAAAGTTGGCGCTGTGCTCATTGGTTGCAACCTAAGATACTGCCATTGAGAATATCAAAGGATGTTAATATCTGGATATATCTGGTACATTGGGCTGACGTCCCTGGACAAACTATTCAATTGCGGAGGTCAACAAGGTGATGGGGCTCTGGCTTGTTTTGGTTTCAGTCAGTTTCGCACGAGGGGTGGATGTGGATGGCCAGGACTTTGAGGCCAAGTCTCATTGGGCCGTCTGTTTTTGACCTATGGCTGAATTGAGAGGATTCCAAATCAACGCGTTGCACACTCCCAAACGGCAATCTATATATTTTCCTAGTTGCAGGAGGGTTAGGGAAATCCCTCTATTTTGAGGCGCAAGCAGCTTCTGACTGGAACCAATCGAATGCCAAACTAAGGAATCGTCCAGCTGAAGGAAGTATGCATCTCTCCTCAGACGAAGAGTTGCGCTCGAAAGCAGGAGCTGTCCAGTCAGCTACCCAATAAAGTTGAACAAAGGAATTTCCAGGTAGAAAGCTGCTGAAATGCTTTCCTACAGAGCTTGTTGACCTGCATACCACTTGTTTTCATCAACCCCAACGATTGCCAAGTGGAGTTTCTGCCCGCCGCTACTGGCTACTTGTCTCTAGGGATCAGGCACCAAGGAATCGAGCACTGTGGGCTCTGAGTAGTGCGATTCAAAGAACCCCGGCTTCAACATGCCTCGCAAGTTCCGAGGAACAAGCCGGCCAAGTTTTCAGCAGCTTTGCGGCGTGGCAAGTAGGAATCCGGGAAACAAGAACTTCTGTGAGCAGTCAGAACCACTAATTTTTCCTAAAAATCTAGGAACTAAATCATTCGTGCGAGCGCTTCTTCAAGGAAGTTCTCCCTCGCTCTCAGGCGGGGGGAGCTTCCTTGAAGAAGCGTGAGCTGTCCTGCGTCCTACCTAGAAGCTAACTTGGCCTAGTAGCTGACTCCCTTACTTTATTATATAAGTAGGAGCGGGCTAAAAGAAGGAACAAGAACTTCTTTTGAGCACCTCGAAACATGATCCCCATCGGCACCTGGAAGCTGCACCTTCAACAATTCGAACCTCAGCGGCAGAAGGGGGTTGCTCTTTTTTTGCGGAGCATCGACTGAGTGAAGTCTCTAACTTGCTTCTCAAAAAGTGAAGTCTGAAGTCTGCTGGAAAGTGATGAAATGTGATGAATATGAAAAGGAAAAGCAAAGAAAGTCTTGGGTTCTTCTCATGTTTTTCCTCCGGCGTGTTCACTGTCCACTCGTCTCGAATCTTTGCCGGAACCCGGAGTCACCCGGAGTCCCAGCCAAAAGCTGTCGGTGATCGCAATGCGCTTGGGCTTCGTCATCTCCTGCAAGGCCTCATCGACGCATCGACTAAGCCGACGGATTTCTTCTGCTGGCCTACGACCACCCTGAGCGAGCCTTTGCAGCGGGACCCTCTGGGAGCATGCTTTCCTGGATGAGAAACGAAGGTTTCTGATTTTAACAAGGCAATTGGAGTGGCCCAAGTTCCATCCGGAACGGGAGAGGCAGTCAGCTGAGCCCTGTGCTGAGCTCCCCATGGCAATTCATACGGCGCAAAGCCGGGCGAGTTGGTGCAACAAGCGGGGGAACTTCACGTCGTTCGGCCCAGATCGCCAGGCGAACGATGCTCACTGTGGTCCTCTGCCACTTCCAAGTAGGCTATCGGTTTTCTTTCTTTCGACAACTCCCCGTGCCACCAAGACCTGAGCCCGAAATTCGGGAGCGATGATGAGTGTTCACTCAAGCTGATTCCACTTAGTTAGCATGGCCTTGCTGACTCAACCAGTTGCTTTAGCCTTGTGAAAAGCTTTTCGTGCACAGTTTGCTGGGATCAAGGGAGCAGGACTGATGGCTTCGACACGCAGGCTTGAGCAAAAAACAACTACAGCAAGTCATTTGATATGAAGGAGGAAGTCTGGATACCCGAAGTGGGACCGCGTGAATCATGCTTGCCTACGAATTTGCAGCAATAAATGTGTAGACTCATCCTGCCTCAAGTCCTCCAATCGAGATATGCTCCTTCAGGATGTGCCCAGAGACTGTATCGCCGTCCGCAAAGGTCAAACTGCGCAGGAATGGTCCCATCAAACCAATTATTGTGTAGCTGGGCAGAAGTTTTGCAAAACTAAACCTGTTCCAACCCATCTGGCAGACTCGTTCTTTTCACGATGTGCGACCATGAACCCGATCAGAAGCAATGTGTGTGTGTGAACCGCCGATGGGTCTTCGTTCCAGCGGAGCGGCTTCAAGTGCGGCAGCAAAGTCGGCGCATTGTCGCACAGCGACTTGACTCATTAACTCTTTGACTTCGATGAGCTTTCAAAGAGCTCATCCACCTCGAGAGAGGGCAGCCAGAAGCAGATCTGCTAGCTGGCTTGTGGAAGTCCAGAGACTTGAGGCTCCACAATGACATACGTGAAGATCCGGCAGCGTTTGGAATGCAGGTCAATGAGTTCGATATGATCATCAAATCACCGCTGCAAATCTCCCTTCACCTGCAAACTGGGGTAATTAAGCTAGTTGCGCTCCTTCTCATCTTGGTCAGGCACATGGCCACTTGCCGCCCAATCAGCTGGTGTTTCGAGCATCTGGAGACTCCATGAGTGTGGGAAGTGTGCTGTTCACTCCTCCATCAATGTGCTGACAGAAGCTGCGTTTGCAGGCAGCACTTTTTGGAGAGTCGACATGGTGCCTCCTGCCAAACTGCTTCAAGCTCTACTTGGCAAAGACCAGCCCAGCCGCCATTCACATCCTCTACACGAAGTTAGCACAAACACTGGGTGTCACTCGGTGGGCGTTTCGACCAAATCATTTGAGGCCGAGGCACCTTGGGGAAGCGGCTCCAAAAAGTCGCATTCCCAAGATCTCCTTCAGCCATGTTTCGAGGGGCAAGTTGTTTGCAGTAGATCAAACAACAGGGCGACATCACCGCAGTATGGTGTGTGCTATGAAAAGAGCCACAGCTGCTATGCTTCCCCAGCGGGAACTGGGTGAAGCACAACAAATTTGCTGTGTTAATAATGTAAGTAATATTGTTCAAAACGCAAAGACGATGTGACCGTATGTGTGCAAGCAGACACAAATACCATTGCATGTTCCAAGTCTCAACCAGTTGCATGCCCTTCATGTCGTTGACCCTCCGAACCCAATCTGAAGAAGCTCAGGAGTGTCCTCAAGCCAAGGCGTTTCAGCTTAGGCATGCAGATCGTCCAACACTCGAACGAATGTCAAAAGCTCCTTCAAGACCTAGATGAAGAGGCTCAGCTCTGAAGTGCTTGTCGAGGTCTGCACAGCTTAGCCCACACCTTTCAGAAGCTGATAGCCATCCTGAGACCAAAAATCATCAAAAATCTATGGACAGTCTGAATGGCATCCATTAGTTCCTGGATGCCCCAGTCACATCCACTCGCTGTTGGGTCATGGCGCTGGGGGAAAAGAGAGAGGGAGAGAGACAGACAAACAGACAGACAGACAGAAAGACAAACAAACAGAAAGACAGAAAGACAGAACGAAAGAAAGAAAGACAAACAAACAGAAGGAAGGAAGCCAAGTCTGGGGGTTTTGAGAACATAAAGGTAGTCTGCAGCCTTCTCTTTTCTTTGGTTCGAGCATCCAAGCCAGCCAAATCCAAGAGCTTAGCGCCCTCGAGATCCGAAAGCTCCTGGCGTCAGGATCTGCAAGCGGAAAACCATCTAAAACCAATGAGCATGACGGAACCGGTGGAGCTCAACTGTCATGGCCTCTTCGGCTTCTCCTCGATCTCCAAGAACTGCCAGAAGCCACCTTGGTGTCTGGACGCTCACAAATATAAGTGTGCAAAACAGTTAACAGTCAGGCTCAGTCGCGTGTTGTCAAAAGGCATGTAGTAGGGATTCGTGACGAAGATGCCAAACCAAAGCGGTTGCCCCACAAAGGCCTTTGTCCCATTGCCCAGGCTTAGCGGCGCATGCACCGTGCAGCTGGCAACGTCACCATCGCAAGGAGGGTGCTGAAGACTTCCTGGTGGACTCACAACGCAGTTGTGAGAATACATATATACATCCAAAAAGGAAGGGAGAGAATCTGCAGGTGTTGGTCCTGTTGCGCATGGACTATGTGCTATGTACAAGCCACGCCCGCATGCCATCACTATGCATCTCTCTTGAATTTGTAGAATCCCTAAAAAGCAGTCAAACCTGGGAGCACTTTGAGTTCCAGGCCTGGCGAGGCCCAAACTGGTCTTCGAGGTGCTGACAGACACCTAGCGGGTACACCGAAAAACCGAAGAACTCTAAATTGTAAAAGCTTCCAACGATTGCGAAGGCTTACTGTACTACAAAGGCGGTGTGAACAAAAGTACATCATACACAAGTGCATGTATATATTACACTTGCAAGCATCCATCCACTTAGAACATCAAATTGTTCCCAAGCCCGAAACCCTTTACTTAGAACATCGGCAATAGAACATGAGCGTCATGCAATCTGAGAACAAAGACGACGTGCACTCTTAGGACATGAAGCGCCAGCACACTTAGAACATTCTAGACGGACAGCACACATTGAGAGCCGATGTCCGCAAAAAAATTGAATGCTGACCAGCTCTTTCCAAGAACGCTGTGCCGCATTTTGGAACATCGGCCATCAGCGTACGGTCAGCATTCGTCCAGACAACACACCAGTGCAACAGCGCTTTCCTAGAATGCGTCCATGGATAACACACCTTGATGCGCAAGTGAATGCTCCATCGACACGCCAAACACTTCAAATCTCTGTTTCACACATTCAATGCGTTCAACTGCTCCAAAACACTCCAACAGCTAGGCGGTTCCAGCTTCATTTCTCAAGGTGTGTGCTATATACTTCTCACTCCCTGCGAGCTATATTTATATTTGTATGAAGGCTGAGCGTCAAGAATTGTTTTTCTCCTGTGTTATTTTTTCGGTTCGATGTGTAGATGCAAAATTCATGTATTGGTCTCCGACATTCTAAAAGCCCATGCGATTAGAGCATCTGTCTTGTTCTAACACCTAAGCTTAGAACATGCAGAATATGCTTTAAGTATATATATATATGTCTTGCAGTATATAGTATGAAAACTATAAACAAATCATCACAAAATCATGTTTGCCAGCAAGAACAGGAGTGCGTCATTGAATTCGTTGAACAGCAAAGGCTGAGAATGAGGCATGCTCCACAAGCCCGATGGCACAGGTACCCCAGGGTCAGCACAAGGACCAGCTGACGGCAAGTAGTCCTGACAAGCTGAGAGGCGCAAAAGGACAAGGATTGACTTTCTTGAGCCTGAGGCACTGAGGGGATGCGCTTAAAGAATCGGACCACATCAGATGTGAAGCCTTGCGGTGAATGATTCACCTGTTGAGACTGCAATCATTTGCAATCCTTTTCTGGACACATCTGGACACACTGCCCCATGGTCGTCCTGCGTCATGCAGGTCAGACGCTCGAAAGGGGCTTCCCATCCACCTGGACCTTCACCACCTCCCAGAGTGCCGGGCAAGAAGCCTTGGAGTTTGAGGCACACCTAATGTGAGAACATGTGAGAACTAGAGAAATTGGTGATGTGTTTCCTCGCGTGAGAAAAAGGATGTGTTTTCTTCCATGAGAACTCTCACGTGAGAACTCGCGAACTAGACACCTCTTCGTCGAAAAGGGTACAGCTTTTTGAGGCCCACACCAGCACAGGTGAGCTCGGTCCCACGCGGGGCGACCAAAAACAAGGCCTCAACGGGCATGCGCTTGTGATGCGCACTCCAGCGGTATGTCGAGTTGTGCCTCTTCGCAGTGTGGAGACCATCGGACTCTTGGCTTTTCGACAAGGTACCCATCTCGGAACCCCACCCGCAATCGCATGGGTGCAGAGGATCCCAAGCTGACCTGAAAAAACAAGACAGAAGCAGTTTGTAGAGTCTACAGTCTACAGTCTCTTCCACAGAACCATGACCATGCACCATTTCCAGGATTGTCCGCTGCCAAGCATCATTCCGCGGGACCACAGTGATGTTCAGAAGATGGAAGACCCCAGGATTCACGCTTTCAGGGACCAGATTGCCCTGCCGTGTGCATCATCCATATCAACAAGCTTTGCCTGGGATATCTCGCCTCCATGCCAGTGAGGCTGAAACCCGGCAGATCAGCCTTGCATCAGCTACATAAGGTACATAAGCATCAAAGGCACAGGTTGATGATTAAGATACTACCCAAAGATGGCACAGTTTGAGCTGTACGCTGAGAAACCCCAGGCCTCATGAAGCGTCACGTACGATGATGCGGACTCAGCCCAGCCTGAGCTGCTTGCTACACACTCTGTTCAGAGCAGTTCGATCGGAAACTCAATCGTGCGATGCACTTACCAAGGGCTCTTGTATGAATTGATTCACTTGTCTCATTGCCATGCATTACTCGCCAGTCGTATGTTTCATGATAATTGATTCCTTATTTTGCCACTCTTGTTGTCCGTCTCTTTGGGCTTTCGTCGAGTAATTGATGTGCTAAGCTGCGGGTCATGAACCGCCACTTGTTTTCTGCTCCGTCAGGATTGAACAAAGGATTGCGAACTCGAAGCCACACCTGTCAGAGAGGTCTGCAGCCGTTTCCGATGCATCTTCAATAATCATGTTGTGTCAAGATCACCGCTCAAAAGCATGGCTTGAATTCAGCCCCCAAGCCCCATCTTGGTGCTCCAAGCAAGGAGGCCACAAAACATTGCACAACCTGTGCCTCATACTCCTGATCTTTCAGCAGCATCCCAGTCCGAAAGCTCTCCTGTTCAAAGCTATTCCAACTTGATGGATCAAACCATGGCCCACTGCACTGGTCAGATTCTTTGGTTCGTTGTTTTTGGTGGTCTCTCCACCCCGTCCTCGGCCTCAAGGAGAATCAAGGAGGCATTTGAATAGGCCTAAGACCATCTTAAATATCAAGTCCAACAAATCCGATTAAACCTGAGACCACAACACCCATCGTAACTCCTTGGCATTCGAAAGGTGGCGGCCTCAGTTTATCTCTGCTCCTCCCCTCTCTTCTGGATTGCCAAGGTTCTGGCAGCGTGGAGGTTGGGCGAGAAATGTCCATCGCAGCCCGCGCCTGTTATGCCAATGTGAGTGTGACAAAGGCAATAAATCTGAATGATTCTGAAAACGCTCTACTCAAGCTGTTTAATGCTAGAGGCAGCTAGGCTATAACCCCCGGTTCACTGTGGCTTGTCATAGTTGTATGGATTTTTCCTTGGGGTTGCAAGTGAGCAAATGTCATGCTTTAGCTGCCGCCTCCTGAGCTGCTTCGCAGTTTTCTGGAAAGACCTCACTTGCGCAGCGGAATGCCTCTTGTTCAGGGTCAACCCTAAACCTGGAAACAATTCTCCATACATACATTGATCCTGAGTGGAATCGGAATGCTGACAAGCGAATTGAAAGGCACCTTCACACACTTCTGCCCCCTTTTCTCACAACAGACTGCCAGGACGTTTGTGTGTGATTTTTGCACCTTAACATCAAGGATCTGTCTAGTCGCTTCGTCTCTCTTGTCAACCCAATGACCACATGAGTCTTCGACACATCTCACCACGCCCCACCCCAAAGCCCCTCACCGCTCCGCTCGGTCGGCTCCAGGCTCCCGGCGTAGCCCACTGGAGGGATCACCAACAACATCGAGGCACAGCTGCGGCATTGGGCCGCGCCTGTCGACAAGCGTTACCCCGACCAAGTCTGGTGAAGTGTTGCCACCTACTGAGAACCCCAACAAACTCAAATGACGTCATGACGGGTGATACAAGCATAATCTCGCTCTCGGCGAGAGAAGAACACTGCGGAAAATCAGTTCAAATCTGCTTGCGTCTGGTTGCGTTTGCATGAGTGCTCAATGAAACCCATCGATGTATCCGCCACATGCACAGCTCTCATCTGGCAAGGTCCAAATCTCAGATGGTCCCAAATCGGCCTGGCGGCGGCGGAGCCGCCCTTGGCAAGTCCTGTGACAGCATGAAGGTCAGCCTGTGGCCAAGGAAACGAAAGCAAGGCTTGAGGTTAGCATCTCAATGGGTGGCACCAAAACCAAAATCACTAAGAATATATATATATATATAATAAAGCAAGGCAAATGCATTTATAGGATCCCTGCTTAATGCCGATGAACTCTGTCGTCTACCTTCAACTTCTTAGAGTCCTGACTAGGGAAATCTTCAGAGAACTTGGGGTCTCAAAGTAGCCGTACTCACAACACTCTGCACTTGGCCTTGTGGCTCTGCAATCTA